ACCTAAGTAGTTAATGTCACTCGAGTTATTTTTAAATTAAATTACTTTTATAATATGCAAACAATAAATGTGTGTGTATACGACGAGTTATGGGAGTTCGAGATAGACTATTCGTTGGATAGTTAACCATCTAACGAAAGTGACTTTTAAAGACAGTAAACAACAAATGCAATGACTAACAGTACTAACCGATTAAAAATTTGTGAAAATTTTCAACGAGTAAACAATATAATAGTCACTATGGTTAGAACCATAGTAGAATTCTGATATACTTGGGTTGTTGTGAAGATTTTTTGGACATAAGTGAAGTAGTTCATTTGAACAGTACTGCGCTGACAACAATGGCAAGTCTCATTAAGCGCATTGTTGATATTAGAGTTTCTACGATTTATCGAATACGCCGAAAGTATAAAATACTTTCAATACACTTGCAACGACACTTGTCAAAACAATGTACAATTATAACTTATAAGTCACGAGTGTTGCTTATCTACAACAACTGTCGTATCATACTACAGCTAAAAGAAAAAAAAATATTTTTATTTAAAAAAATACCTGTGGTTGTTGGTCTTGGATGGAGAATTTGGACTTTGTTGTTCGTCTCGAATATGCATTTTGGAAGAGAGTTTTTTCAGTACATCGTCCATAGTCCTTTTGGCGGCAGGTCCAGCCAACGACATAACGTTGTTATTATTGTTGTTGTTTTGGTTGTGCATGAATGTGTTGTTGTTGAGATGCATCAAATGCGCCGCAGCCAATTTTTCGGCTACGGATTCGTCACCTTTTCGAAGCCGTTGCTCGATATCGAAATATGGTGATCCGGCACCACCGGCTGCTGTCTGGCTACCATCAAGCAAATGGAATGGAGGGGGCCCGTGTTGTCCAGCGGCCAAAAATGCTCGTTCGTATGCAACGGCTGCTGCAGCCGCTGTCTCGTAGAACGCGTTATGGTTAAGCGACAGGAATGACGCTAGATGTGACTGGGGTAATTGCTGCTGTGGTTGATGGGGTGGCGACGACCCGGCAGAACCTGCTTGCTGTCGGCCGCCGTACGAGTATGGTGATTTACCGTCTACCGCAGAGTTGCCGCAAGGGCTTTCGGTGCGTTGCCGTTTGTTGGATTGTGACCGAGGCGATGAAGAATTGATGGCGTACCGACCGTTGTTGCTGGTGTCGCTGCAGTCTGACGAGGGCGGCGAAGAAGTACCACTGCTGTGACCGATCGGCTGTGCTACAGAAGGTGGACTGCTGGCCACGACTGGGCTGCCACAATTTCTGTCTGTTACAGTCTCCATATCGTCGCAATGGTTCTCGGGATAATGCAGCTGCTCCGTCTTATTCGTTTCGGGATTTGTACTCTCAAGCAATTTGGATGGCGGCGACTTGCGTTTTGATGACATTACACTGCGAAAAAATAAAACTATTAGAAAAACGTTTCAGAGTTTACACAATCAAATTGTTTTTTCAATTTGCAGCAATGTCAATTTCGAGTTATTGACAGAACCTTACAGCTTAAAAAAGTTGGATTTCAATGGATCGTGCACGTCGTTGAATGCAAGTCTTTGTAGAATGAAAGGTTGCGCATTTTGCATTATACCGATCAGAGACTATTATTACAATTTTAAATGAATGAAAAACGAATATATGCGAAATGAAAAAAAAAGTACGTACTTAGGTAATACACGTTACACGGACAAATGCGATAAAAGCGCTTATTATTTATATACATATGTAACATAGAGCCACGGTATTGGTGTATAGGCACATTCACATATATTATTATGATTTTTATTATAACGGTACATTTTTTCATTGAGGTTATCGACGGAACCGAAAGAGCCAACTGCAGATAACATTTTAACAAAACACCAATTGAATGGAGATAAACGTTTAACATAATACATATGCTGAAACAACACCACCAGATTATCTCAATCATTGTTTTTTTTTTATTGGCATTTAGTTGCATATAAAAGAAAAACATGTGACCCTCACACCTTTTAATTTGTAAGTATTTTTTGTTTGTTTTGTCCTCGGCGTCGCGTAATTCCGTCAGTTTTTTTCTAGCGGTTTTAGTATTCATCGAGACCCCGATGCCCTGCTAATGTATAATTATCATCATCGTTGTTATTAGTTTTATTATTATGGACGTGATAATAAGCCACTTCGTACTCCGAACCGTATTGTTAGCACTACTAATTAATCTCGTATTGTTTCTCAACGCCTAATTATATCATTCTGTGGTAATCACATTAACAAGACAACAAATACAATTGCGAATCAAAATTGTGTATCGCGTTGACTGTTCACCCGAAATAACCGTATTATCGATTCGGCATTTCTGCCCCAATGGATTGCCAAATACATTTATTTACTGAACCAGAAACACACAAGACAGGCGACCTAAGACGTTTGTGTAAACAAATCTCTAATCGAAGGTTGATTTTGTCTAAATAACCGATAGTTGAAATTGCATCGAGTAATTCGCGTTGCGTTTCTCTATAATGGTAAGGTAGTGTTTCCGAATGTCGACCGAAGAGAGTTGTAACGTAGTAATTATGACTCAAACGTACTGGACTAGACAAGCGTGTCTGGAGGGTGTTCGGTTTTGCCCAATTCGTCGACTTCCTGTGTGAAAAGCGGTTATTTCTCGCAAGGAAATAAACTTAATTTCCAATCATCTTTCACGAGAGTGTTTATAGGTGAGAAATGAAATTACATTGCTGGCGAGCAGCAATGGCGTAAGAGAATGCGTGTGGCCCACCGAGATAATCGTACGATTAGCGGCGATCTTCGAGAACATTGAGAGTAAAATACACACTGGAGTGTATACGTTTTTTAGCTAGTCAAGGTTTTACGATTTTCGTTTTTGATCGACTCAACTGGTATAAATCGATCGTCGCTATTGTTATATTTATATACACTCCACAGGTCAGCATCACATTGTTATTCTTAATTTTTCAAACTTATATATTGTGTTTATACGGTTCCGTTAGTGTGCAAGTACGTCGCCCGTGCGTTTGTTTAAATTCACTAGTAAACAATTGGTTCCACATGCGCTTAAAAGTAAAAAACGATAATAATACCACAAAACGCTTTTTACATGACGATCATTTCAAAATTAACGTGTAAACTATCAATTTGTTGCGATTGCAAAGTAAAAGTGTACAGGAGATGTTATAGTAATAAATAATTTAGGCAAAGATCTGAGGAACTAGAGTACCTAATGACAGTGATTGACTGTGAACGCAACGTATGATTTTGTGAAAAAACAATATATAATTTAAATGGCGGCCATAGGAAGAGAAGTTCCGAAAATGTTTGAAGTAAACTCGTAGTGTAATCATTGTTTTTTGGAACGGTTAAGTAATAGCTACGGTAGATAATATGATGAAGTGTTTTGGGTAGGATCGAGAGTTCAAACGGTCTAAGGTCTTTAATTTTTACTGTACACAAATATTCCACACAATACTTCTAATCACGTTGAAAGCTGCCCTTTTTTGCAATACACAATATTTTCTTCTATTCTTCAACGACCGCTATTCTAAACAACGACCAGAAGTATAGCAACAAAGGGGAGTGGGTATATAATAGTTTTTGGATAACGCACGGGACTGCGTGGGCGTTTAAACAATACAATGAGAGGGCTGTCAGTGTGCGAAGTAAATGAGCCAAGTCTTACAGTAGACAAACAGATGACGGACAAAAAAAGAAATCCACGACAATCCATGACGGGCCGCCTAAGTTAATGTAGAGTACGCGAATCCGTATTACGACATGCATTTAATCAGACGTTGGAAATTCGGTATGCCAAGGACGAGCATTTGCGGATAAAAGATCATAAATGATCTACGCGCGCGTTACATCGGATATTTACGACGCGTTAGAAAAAAAAAACCTCTTGAAATAAGCAAAATTCGCGACAATATTTTTCACAAATAGCCATGTCGGCACTCAACACAATGATTGTACGGTAACGATGGTACTCACAGTGTGATCTCTAATATTTTATACAGTAATAATGTCATCGTAGCTGGGCGTGGGTTTGTTTCAACGGTCGTAAATTTCGCAGGCGCCCGTTGAATGATCGCGCGAACAACAACCGCAGGGATGGACCGGAACGCAAATTAATAATTATGTGCCGGGCCTTCCATCGTCGACGACACGTGATGGATTTCCATTTCCATTACTGCGAACATATTATAAAAAACAATAACACCACGGAAAAAAATACACGCCGAGACGCCAGTATTCTGTTCAACTGTGACATGTATTGTACGGTCATAAAGAATAACGGATGCTATTCTCATGTCTTTTGGCACGACTCGTTGGGTCCATGATATTGCATACACATTTGGTTTCAACAGTCATAAAAAAAATATTTTTAAGTTTATTCGAAAAAAATAGCGTCGTTCGGTGTAAAAAAACCGTGACAATATTTATGCGAATATAGAGTTTCACACAAATTTGTAATAGACAAACTGATCAGTCAATTTTGTCCGTTGAAAGTGGTTGTTGACGCGTGTACAAGGGTCAGTGATAACAGTTGACGATTCCACAAAAGAGTGTTCATTAAACTCCATCAAACAACAATTAATCGATAACAAACTCCCACTGCACCAACTGTTATCGTATGAAACATAAACACACAGCGATTTCCTCAGATTGAGACCTAAAGCTTTCAATGGGTCAAGTCACCATTGCACAGGTATTTATTACAAATAAAATGAGACAATGTCACCATAATTCCACACTTCGGTTGTAAACGATCGGCAGGTCCGATCGTTTCAAGC